TGGCGACTACTGTATAATGATCCATAGGCTTCCCGAGGCACAAAGCTCCGTATGGGTGGCGAAGGTCATGAACAGGCCAAACTCGACCGAGCTATGACAGCAGAAGGGACGAACGAGGCAGAGAATGTGCGCAGATGGACACAGACACGTTTTGGACTTACTTAATGTGCCGTTAAGAAGATATCATATAGTGTCAGTAAATGCTTGTAATGAATATTGATTATGCTGCATACTTTATAAGAGACCGTTAAAAATCGGACAGGTATGAGGCGATGTGGAACATATTTTATGCAGTATAGGCAGCATTAATGAATTGGCGGATACGATGTATTATGAATAAAAACCTCACAATTGTAAAAAAATCTCATAATTAGCAACTTTTTTATAAGCGAAAGCTACCCTTTCTGTGAGTATAAAATTTAAAGAAGGCTTAATTTACTATCAAACAAGTACAAGAAATAATTTTTCGTGCATGTTATCCATAAAATATATTTTAATTTATGAAGGCAGTTAAAATCACTGATTAGAATGGCATACTACCGAAGTAGCTAGTTTTTACAATAGATACTTTTTGCTGGTAGTCAGAACGAAGCTCGAAGCATCCTATCATGACGGGATAAACTTCAGAATAGACTGCACGATAATCAGTATTACAACTTGAGCCAATACCGATTAGCGAAAGAGTATCAATCTTTCGCCTATGTCGAAATGTTGCGTGATCCGTGGCGTCTACTGTACATGCCAATTAATGTTACAACCTTACTCAATGCCGATTAACGAGAGAGTATCACTCTTTCGTATATTGCAGAATGTCACACGTATTTTAGGCCGTACTGTATGAATACTTACATGGACAAATGTGCTTCCCCAGTTGCTGCTGTTTGCGAATAGAAAAATTGGTTTTCTTCCTGTTCTAGTGGAGGTGTCGGTTTTGACGAACTCTCAGTTACGGACGGGGCCGACATTAGTCCCTGTGATGATGAACTAACAGGTCAGTTAATGACGTCACCCCTCCCCTCCCCCTCCCATCATCATTCTGCCTTATTAATCAGTTTGCGTTCTCTCTATTCCTTTGACTATCTGTTTATGCTTGCTTGAGTGTGTGTGTATTTGACGAATAGTTCGCATGCGACCTCTCCCGACAATGGGATGGGGATCTGCAACCCGCAACCTTTGAATCCATCCAATTTTTCTGCTGTCTTGTGTCATTGTGGCTGTTACGTTCTCTTTTCCCTCGTATTTGGAAATACTAACGGGCAGACTTTCCCCTGATTCCTCAACTGCCGATCGAATTCGCTTTATCCGTTTTTATCCGGTAACTGAAGGCCCTGGTAGAATCCTACTTCGGGTCCCAGATCAACACGCGAAAGCCCCATTTTTCTGTAGCACAGGATCGGGTGTAATAAATAGTATACAATCTGGGCACTACGAAGGAATGGAAATATGAATTTAAAAAAATTTTATAAAAGAAGAAAAAACAGGAATAATTATTTGAATAATCTAATGTTTCTCAACAAAAAAGCGCGCCATAATTCAAATGTGCAATTATGCAAATATTGGAAAATAAGAAAATTTAAAAAATAACTAGCTCAAACCAAACGCAACTAACTAACGATAATCTAAAACCAAAATACTAATAGTAAACTTAATAATGAAGTGAAAATTAAACTGAACCTAAAGATAAATAAACCAGATAATATAAACTAACGTATATTTGTTGCGCATGTAAATTGAAGGTGTGCACGGCGCTTCGCGCCGCGAACTGTACAAATCTAACTCTAGAACGGTAAGTTGGACCATAGGTAATTTGAGGTAGATGACCAATTTCAAAAACCCAGTAAACTATGAAGTGTGAATAAGTAAAACATGTCCAATTTCGTCACACACAATAAATTATAAGTAACTTAGCAATGTAATTAAATTCCAATATTTATGGTGCGCTATTTTATTGCGAAAATATTGGATTATTCAAACAATTTCTAGCTCCAAAAGTAGAATTCCACCCAGGCTTTTGCCAGTTCAAACCTGTCTGAAATGTAGATATGGCCATGACTAGTACCTTTTATCGGAAATTTGGCCGAACATATGTCGTTTTTACCAATTGTGACCGGGAAGTGAGGATGTTGTTTCGGTTTGTGTGCTCTATGCCAGCCGATCGCATCCCCCCACCGGATAGGTGTAAAATCTAAAGTGTCCTTATTCTGCCGGCGGCGGCAGTGAACGGAACTCTTTCGTATTCCCTTTTTCTCCGACTCCTATTAGTTGCCTTATTTTGGACACTGATGCCTGTTAGATAAAATCCAACCCGGAAAGGCTACGCATTTGACTTTGGGAGTTTCTGCCCACAAAATAAATACATGCTACTTTTTATGCCACCGCTTCCCTGATCCGTTAACCGAGTGTTTCCACGAACAGCCAGAAAAAGGCCTTGTGGCTTTGCCCAAGTTAGAGAACGTGCTCGTCTCATTGTGCCATGTAGGTCAATCTTGAGCCCTCTCAGGCAGTCACATAACGACTGGTGCTATATGATGGAGTGAAACCGACAAAGACACTTGGGATGGGGTATGGCTGGAAGCGGTTACTCTCCATCATTCACTACAGTGTTTCAAGACCGTTTATAGGACGCTCCACTTGTTGATGTGATAAATTGTGTGGTCTTTTCTGTTTCACGTAGGTCAGGTATTTTGGGCTTGTTTATGTTGTCGGTAGTTTTACAAAGTAGTTTGACAATTTCGATTCGTACAACTGGTGACGGTTCACAAAAGCCCTCTTCGGCCAAAAGCGCCATTGCGGTTCTCCTGTCTGGCTGCTATGCCGGTCGCTTCGCTCCTGTCAATGTCGGTTACAACTACTATCCTCGCTATGACGAACAGTTTCGTCATGCAAAGTCAAAATTCCATTTGCACAGGCTTGTCAGACTTCTGTACACCGTAAACTAGACGCGAAGTAGGACACTGAAAGTAGCCAATACAAGGAAAACTATTCCGGACAGTTTTGCATACACATTTTGCCTTATTACTTTGAGCCTTATTAGTACCCTATTATTTTAAATGTTGACTCGGTAGACTACATTTTCTGCTACCACATTTGCCGATCTGATTGCCGTTTGCACGATTTCCTTCCTCCCTATTCCTGCACGCACGCTCTGTCTCTCTCTTTCTCTCTCCATGTTCACGCGATCGCTCGCTCGCCTGCGCTTTGTATTTCCTGATCGCGTGTTCTGCATCCCTCCGGAATGACACCTCGCTCCTCCTCCTCCTGCGTCTGCTGTGATTCTCGCCTTTTCCTCTCCTCTCGTCTGCTCTCATCTTATTGGTCTGCCTGCCTGCCTACCTACCTGTGTGTACGTTTTTGTACATCTTACATCCTGACCTGACATCGCCTGCCCCCGTGCATGTCGCATGACAGATGAGTGCAGTACCGCTGCACCCGTCTCGGAGTTTGAGCCCAGCGAACTTGGTAAGTTGCCTTCCCCCACCCGTCCCCCGCCCCTTCGTGCTGCCTCTGCCATCCCTCCG